TAAAATTGTCAGTTCGAGTCTGTAACAAGATACTAAGGGAATCTTACGTTCATCCTGTACTAGCTCGTCAATGTCATTGTCCCAGCCAAAGACAACTTTGAGCATGTTGAGTCGAAGGTCGTCCGGAGTGCGTTCTGGTCCGAGGTCCGAAGGGCGGAAGGGAACATCGCCAAGCCGGGCTTTGGTAAAGGGAAAGAGGTCCATATGCTCGGTTTTTTGAGCCTCTTCAGGGCTTCGGAGAACTTCTTTTCGTAGCCCTGAAGTTGCATAACGAGATGATGATGCGGTTGATGATAACGACCGGATTGACACACTCTCACGTGTTGATGTACCCATGAGCGAAGATGTGCCCGAAGAGAAAATGGTACCTGAGCCGCCAGAGCTCTTGGACCGCGTAGAGCGTTGGGAGCCCTGTGAAGGCCTGTCGTATCGGTAACGTGGAGCACGGCCGCTTCCAGATGACCGCGAGCTCTGAGAGCCTCGACTTGAAACAGGACTCAGGGGTCCAACACGATCGCGGCGCTCCTCTTCCAACTGATCCATCTCTTGAGCAATCTTCTGCAGCGGCGACATAACGACGCCCTCGTCCGCGCTGCTCTCGGATTCGGATAGCGTTATCGGCAATGACTTGGCGGGAAGTGCAGTGAGTGGGGTTTCCATCTGTTTCTTCTGCTCATCTAGGGAGATTGGTGGGGATGGCGGTGTGTTGGCGGGAGCATGCTGAACATTAGCAACCATGGTTGCTGGGCCATTGCTAGGATTGAGGTCATATTGCTGGATACTCGAGTTGCGTCCAATAGTGAAAAGGGTGGCAGTGGGTCCGTAGTTGCAAATAGCGGCAATGCCATCAGCCGTGGGTACAGTTTCGTAGGAAACTCTCTTTGTACGAACATCCCAGGCGCAGGTTTGCCTGCAGTGACAATCATCAGCTCAGAAAGGTCAGGTGATCAGTGTGATACATACCCTTCAGTATACTGCACAATGCGGCCATTCTTTGACCAGGCAAACCAGCAGGGACCAGGCTCCCGTTGCTCCTTTTGGTTGAGAACGCGGATCACACAGGGACTGTCGCCTGCATGAGGTGCCTTGGGTACACTCCACACGCGGAGATCACCATCTGCGGTTTGGGCCGCCAGCATCTCCGACTTTTGCTTGGATGATGAGCCATGCCAGGCCAGACCCGCAACGGGTGAAGGATGTCTGGGAGTAGTGAGGGTGTGAAGAATGGTAAAGGAAGGTTGCAGAGTTGCAATCAGTATGGATCCATTGAGGTAACTGGAGCAAGTCAGTGGAAAGGGGCTCAGGAGATGGACCAAAAGCTCTCTGGAACGCACCCAATGGCAAATGTCCTGCAATCTGCGGCGGGTGCGAGTGCTGTGATGGGGTCAAAAATGGTCCTTGCCGAGAGGTGCTCGGATGTTGAGGGTTCAAAGAGTATGATGTTGCCCTGAGCATTTCCTGGTTGACTCGTTAGCACCTTGGCGCCGATTACACGGCAACTACAGCACCCCAAGAGACTCACCAAAAGCAACATTTCCGTTTCTCATCCAGGTTGCGACCCTGATTTGTTCATATGACGCAAAGCGAGCTACTTCATCGCCCGTGAATAGGTCCCACACAATGGCGGTGGAGCCGGCGTCATACGACACTACCAATCGGCCCGCGCCTCTTTCACTGGTTGTGTCGACAGATATCCACGAGACGTCTTCACGGTGTCTCTCAAAACGTCTCTCTACAGCCAGGGTATCGTGGTGAAGGCACAGGATTACGTTGCGCTGGGCGTAGAGCAGGAAGGAGCCGGTGGCTGCACAGGGCTCAAAAGCAAATTCGTCCTGGCCGGGCGTCGGGGGCTTGAGCTTGACATCGTTGGAGTGGACCGAATTGCTTTTGATAGAATTGGAGTTGGCGCGCTGCCTCAATCCAGTCGACATGGTGAGAGCTGGATCTGTGCGGAGGTCGGATGGTGGTTAGTCGGGGTATGTTCCGCCAGGGCGCAGGAAGCGCATTCCGGTTTGCAAAGAGGCACAGAGAGAGATGAGGAGGGGGAATCTGGGGGAAGACGCAGATGTAGGAGGAGGAGCGTGCAGGAGAAGGAGGCAAGTTTGCAACTCACTGCAGAGAGCAAGAGCGCGCTAGACGGGCGATGCGCGGACAGCTCCACGGCGTCTGGAGGAGGGTACCGCTTGGCCCCGCCTCGGTCGGTGGTTGTGATGGAGCAAGGATGGACGGGGGGGAGCGGTGGCGGGCAATTGTTGCAGCAGAGCCAAAACGAGCAGCTGAAGAGTAGAGGGCAGACAGACAGGATGAGACACAGCAAAGCACAGGAATGGGCGACGAAAAAGGACGACGAGCGAGGAAGCGACAGGAAGCGCAGACAAAGTGTGCAAGTTGATGCGCGAGGAGGCCCGGCTATCAGTAACGGCGCTTAGGGCAGGCGAAGGCCGAGATGTTTGCTCGAAATAGGACGGCAGAGCATCGATTGGGCATTTGAGAGGCGTCAAAGGAGCTGGGGCAACGCCGCCTCATTCGCGGCCGGGTGTGAAAGGTCGAGTGTGTCGAGAAGAGCATCCTGGGAGCCAAGGTGGTGATGGGCGACGTTAGTGGTTAGGTTGGCGCCGGCGAGCCTGTGCGGACTAGACGGGCAGCCTCTCACAGCGCCGGACGAGGCAGGCACGACGAGCAGCCCATGTGCCTGCCGCACCACCATCACACTTTCGCGCTCGCTCCTGCCCAATCACCGCCCGCCCCCAGCGCCCCCACGTGAAAGGGCCCTGTCGCATCGACTCCATGGCCCGTAACCTGCACACATACGCAGTCCACTACTTGCTACTACTAACCAACAACGCTGCCCTCTTCCCATGACTCTGAAAATGCGGTGACGGTAGCGCCAGGCCACTCCTCATTTTCTGCTGTTCATGTGCGTCTCTCCGTCCCTGGCACGGGAGGGGAGGGGGGGCCCAATACACGGCTGCCCGACGGTTCGCATATGTACGCCCGAGCTACTGCACCATAGCACCCACTCGCACCATGCTTCGGGAACGTCCATGTGAGGCGGTGGCACTGTGCCTGGGAGACAGTGGCTGTAATCTGTACTCTCGAGTATACATGCATGTATACACTCATACTGACAGAGAAGAACATCACACCGACACACACACTTACACACACACACACACCCCGTACCATGGTCCTTCCGACACCTTGCCCTGGTCCTGGGATATCCCACCGCGCTCGTATACAGAGTACTGTACTTTATATCCCACCCAGCAAGCTGCCATGTACGACGTGCTGCAAACCTTGCTTGTCCCACTCTACCCGATACCCAATCCATGCATGGCTATACATATGTATACATGCATACATACCGCATACTGACATTCAGACGCGACATTGTTTTTCGTGCAATCAAGTCCACCACCGCCCTGTGCCTGGCTCAACCTCCCACACACACACTACTTACAAACTGGCGAGCCCAGGCTTGGTTTAATCTGATACGCGGATCTGCTTCCCCGATCCGCGAGGGATGATGTGCAGCACGGCATCGAATCAATAGCAGCGAAACAAAAGGGCAATGATTGCTCCCCCCCTCCCAACGCCCTGAATCACTCTTTTGCTGCTCACACCGTTTACCCTACCTCACTTCGCTGGATGTGTCCAGATGCGATTGCGGAATCGGCCTTGATTCGGGCGCACATGCTGGGCTTCCTTGCTGCGAGTAGTGTAGTCCATTATGCATCCTTCTTCACACTTGATGTACATGTATGCACACACACATATTATCGATTACCTTACATACATACATACGGACAAGCCTGGGTTTGTCTAAGCATTGAACACAATTATCTCGCTTACCAACCCAAATATTCTTCTTTTATCCCGCGTTGCCCTCCCCCCCCTCCCTCGAAACTCGAATCTGATTTGGTGCGCGCCTCTTGAGCAACCCCCCAGCTACAAACTTGGGGGGAGGGGGCGCTATCGCATGCCATGATAATTTCGTAGAGCACTTCATCACAACCCCGTCACATCTCGTCACAATCACAATTGTCGAATCAAAACATGCACAAACTGCAAAGGCACTTTTCAGAAGAGTAATGTAGTAAGAGTGTTATCAATTCTCATTCGTGATTCAAAAAAAAAAGTCCAACTATGGATGGTGAGGGGGGGTATCTAAATAAAGCTATATAAAGGGTTGCATGCCGAGCGTGTATGCGTGGGTGTATGCGGGGTATCTAGAGAAAAAATGCGAAGCGAAATCTAAGCCACACGAGGGTTCAAAATCAAACAAACTCTCGCAAGTCCCGTCTCGCAGGGGTTGGTGGGTGGTTGGGTGGGGGTATCCATAACAAAAGTGTTTTTCCAACAAAACACTGCCAAAAAAACAAAACATCAAAGACGCCGGATGTAAATGCCCGAATTCCTTCGCTATGCTTCCCAAAGGGTTCCCGAGGTCCCGTCCTCGATAAAGGAATAAACTCCAGCCGGCGTTGCCGCATAAGATGCAAAACATGCGGTGGCGAGCTGGAATCTTCCTGTTCCATCTCTTTCCGTCGTGATTCGACGAGGCCCGACTGCGGTCGCAACCGGCGGAGCGCCAGTCGAGCCATGCATGCACAGTGTGCACTGTGCTATTGGCGCAGCATGGGCTGCGCCTGGATGTGAGCACTGCCACAACCCTGACAAGGTGGCAAGGGTTGCGGCGGTGTGAGGGATGGAGGCACCGCCTGTCGCGCGTCAGGCGGTACGTCTTAGTAGTAGTAATAGTAAGTAGTAGCAGCGGCCGAGGGTGACGAGGCTGCACGTGATGGAAGCTCATGTGACCTGAGCGGCGCAAGTGGTAGCGCGATGTGCACGCGCGCGCGTGCGCGTGCAAGTGTGACGTCGATGGTTGTCAAGAGGCCGACTGATAAACATGCATCAAAACTGCGGCGTAACTGGGCGCAGTCATGATGACTTGAGAGAATAAGAATGATGATGGCTTAGCAAGTCGTGGTGATGAGTGCTCATTCAACCTGCTCGGGTGACTCTGCAATAGGAGTCATTGGCTTGGAGGTGCGGCGCTGCTTGCGGCCACTGCTGCTGCGGCGGCGCTCGCTCTTGGGCTTCTTCTGCGCGTACAGTGGAGGCAGAATGGGAAAGGCCTGGGCCATGGGGGGAACACGGGGCGGTGCTGGTGCCTCCTCGAGGAGTGGGCAGGCGAACTCGTCGTCAAAGTCCTCGCCAAACAGGTCGGCATCGCTAATGTAAGACGATGGCGGACTGCGGTGGTCAAGCGAGGGACCGGTTGGCCATGATGGGTAGGCACAGGAAGAGCCGCGGGTGGAGAAGGACTCGGTTGAGTAGGTGCTGTAGAGGGAGCTGGTAGGCGACGACATGTTGTTTCTTGGCGAGATGCTGATGGGGATGGACTTTGAAGGCGACGAGGCTGGTGATGGATCGAAATGCATTGTAGCTTGTGGATGGTGAGATGTGTAGAGGGGTGGGTCCTGTGTATATAGAGACTTGCGGGCACTTTCGGCGCTAGGTGGTTACTGTGGTTTTCGTGATTTTTTCGTCAAGCAACGTGTGCCGGCAACTGGACCGAGGGCGCGGAAGCTTGGAAGCGGGCTGATGTATGACGCCGATGTGGATAGACAAAACAAGGTTGCCGGTACTAACAGGGTAGCGTCGGGCCTCGTATCGGAGAGCGAGATGGGAAGGGTACGATGTGGCGAGCTGGGGCCCAAGGCAGTAGTTGGTGGAGGATGCAGAGCAGAGCGGGTGCAGGTGGGACGGTGTGGGCTATTATATGTCGCAGGTTCTACACATACACAGACATGTGCATCTACCATGTACACACACACGGAGGGGTCAGGCGTTCGAGTCAGGCAAAGCAATTTGCAGCGTCGCGGGCGAAGATCAGAGGGCGGTCTGGCCATGGGGAAGACGGAAGGCTTGTTCCATATATCTGGCCGTGTGAGAGTTTGTTCCCTTATTGCGCCTTCGCTCCGGACCGCGCTGAAAACGCCTGGGCTGGCCTTGGGCGCAGTGGGCAGTGTGTGATTTGCGTTTGGGGGCACGAGTCGGTGAGCGACCGCTCTTTGCAAGGCGAGGCCTGTCATTGGCGGAACCGCGGCCGCGCAGACCGCTCAGACCGCCCCTTTGCAAACACTGCCCAATTCCGGCTACTGCTACCGTCCGCCCCGTTCTCTCCCGGCTGCCTACCACTACTCCGTACCCTACACTCCAACACACAGACACACACACACTCGCATACATGCACATGCAAACCCGCCCGCCCGCCAGCCGAGGGTGCCACCCCTCTACGCCCTGTGACGCCAGAAGAAAAAAATTTAAGAGAAAAAAAAGAAGACCAGGGGGAAACCTCCCTAATTCACCGCGCCAGTGCGGACACATGGGCATGGGGGCGAGGGGGGTGGCGGTGGGGGGTGGTATGGCCCCGCGAGTATGTGAGTGTGTGTGTATGAGTGCATGTGTGTGGGTGTGTATGACAGTGACAGCGGAAACAGCGCCCACGACTCATCTGCACGCCACGCCCGGCTCCTCGCGAGGGCATATGCGGATAAGATTAGTGGTTTTTGCCGCATACAGTAAGGGGTCAGACAGAGGATCATCTCGGGGATCATGGCAGAAGCAGAAGGGAGACCCTTTTTGCCCTATGCCCTCGTATACTACTGACTCTCCCCCACGCCTACGCCGCTGTCTTCACCCGCCGGCTTGTGTGGCATGGGCAAAAAAGGAAGCACAAGCGCACGCCCCCGGCTGTCTGTCCGCTTCTCCGCCCTGTGAGTGCGAGTGCCCTGCTGCTACTTACTGCTGCCCAAGAGAGCGAGGGCACAGAAGCCAATGAATTCTAATCCGTCCTATGCATATGCCACCTCGTCCCGCTCGCCTGGTGACTCAGATGGCTGCTGGCTTCGGGAGGTGACTCGGCTGGTTGTGCCAGCTGCTAGTGTATCGTAGCCACCCACGCAGACACATGTCGAAACACTCGGCCTCGATAAAGCTTCTCCATGTCTCACGGGCCAGGGCTGACGCTTGCGACCCTGCGACCCTGCGACTTGCACTTGCAACCTGCGACCTCTCGCCTCCCTAGGTGTCGCAATCACATGCAGTTGCATGGCCGATCAAAGGGTCCAGTGGATAGATAGCAGTCGCTCGTCATCTCTAGCCTGCGGGGCCTGTCACGAGCACGCAGCGAACCAAACAATACCTACACCCCCGGGCTCAAGTGCACTCTACCGCTACTAGCAGATACTATAGGTGTAGAGTCGGCAGGTCGTTTTTTTGCCAGACTAGAGTACGTACACTATGTCCATATATGTACCTTGCCACCGAGTCGCCGTGGAACAATACTTGCCGGCCCGACATGTGTCTCTGGCAGTATGCACGCCATAAGCACTCCCTGGGGGGGGGGGTCCAGCCGAGATGCCCTTGCACTGGAATAAGCCCGGCCCAGCGAAACTCTCCGTGGCCACCATGCTCTGATGCGGATGCGGAATCTGGGCTGGGACACCAAAAACTCCGAGGACAGTATATTGTGGTCTGTAGTAGCGGTGGTGGTGGTACTATGCACGTAGTACTACTAGTATGTAGTGTATGTCGACGGCTGACCCACAGCCCACGGGGCCCCCCTTTTCGCCTGGCGTCACCCACAGCACTTGCCCAAAACATTTTGTTTCAATCAGCAGCTAGCAGACAACAACAACCTTCAGCCATCAGCCCTGCGATGCTATATTCAGCCTGTAGTGCAGACGCAATGCCAAAAGGCCCGTCCTTCATCTCGACGGTTGTCCCGAACACGGCCTGCCTGTTACTATAGCCGTTTTGCCTGCATCCGGCGCGCGTGGCATTTGGGGTCGTCCTGTGGTGCGTGCGCGCCCGTGCGGATCTGGGGATGGTTCTTCCACTTGCACTTGCACCTGCCCTTCCATTCAGAGCTGTTCCGCTCCGCTTCCATTCTTCCATGGAACCGCCGCTAGAACGCCGGTCGTGCGCCTCGCCTCGAGCGCCCACAAATACTTGCATGCACACACACACCAAATTGCCATGAGAGCACTCGCGCCATCTCGATGCTTTGGGACCTAATAGCTGGTTCGCCGGCTCCAAGTTTTTCTAGAGCCACCACTACCGTACATTGGCCTTCTGCCACGTTGCCTGCCACACCTGGCGCATCTGGTGCGCGTAGTGCGGCGTCTATGTTTGGAAGGTGCGGCCAAAAGGGCAAACCAAACCTTGTGCCTCGTCTCCTCATCTGTCTTTCCGTGGGACCATCGCTCCGTTTCAACTTTCGGGTTTCGGGAGCCGCATGCAGACACTGACGCGACAACCCAAGCAGAAGCAAATGCAGGGTCTGCGCCCTTCTTCTTCCCATTCCCCAGCCAACTCCAGCTCCAGCGTCGTGAGCCAACAAAGTAACTTTGCCGCGGCCCGTCGTCTCTCCCGCGGCATGTCGTCGTCTCTCCCGCGGCATGTCGTCGTCTCTCCCTCTCCCTCTCCCCTCCCCCTCTCACACATACAATGACGCTGCCTACCGTTCTCAGTCGCAATTGCACCGACATGGCCCCGTGCTGCAGAACATGCAGTCCGTGTCTGAAGTTTCTGCCTACTCCCCACTTGGCGGCCGACAAAGACGTGCACTCGAGTGGACCCGAGTGCATCATCGTGCTGCTGCCCTAGAAGCTTTTCATCGAAGGCGGACAAGTGGGCCGACAAAAGTCCCTGCCTTTGCGCTGGCTGGGAAAAACTCGGCCTCCGATGTGGGCACACGTGCAAGGCCTGCCTGTCCCTCTTCCGACAAGTTTTCGTTGGGCACGCTGCGACTCATGTGGCTGCGCACTGATTGGTCCACAGCCACTGGCGAAAACCGGCCGGGTGCTGTGGCTGTGGAGCTGTGGTTGCACGCTGCTGTTCGTCTTGATGCACTCGAATACTACTAGGTCGACTGCGTCGTATCCATGCCGCTCCGGTGGAGACTCAGCTTGAATCAACAATACTCGGGCACCATATTTCATTTCAAAATTTTCTTTCGCAAAAACAGGCAGGAAAAAAAAATCCCCCGTGTGCGCCAGAAGAAAGCACATCATCCGGCCCTTTAGCGAAACCAACCTCTCTGTACATGGTAACCCCACGCGGCGCTCATCTACTTTCCTATCTGGGAAGTAGAACCGCCCACGGCATTGACAGGCAGCCGCTGCTGCCCTGCGTTTGTATGGCGGCATAACAAACGGGCGGAGCGGAGTCTAGGCTGTATACACTACACTTGCACTCTACCTACTGCTACACTCTGCCTACTATCCGCCCTTGACATTCACCCGGTGGTTGCTGCACACGGAGAATTATCACTGTGAGCGAGCATGTGCACGACGCGCGTAGTCTGGACAGATACTTACAACTAATAAATGCCACGGCAAAACAGTTGCTACCAACAAATACCGACCCGTGCGGGTGGTCACTTTCTCCGCACTCGGCTTTGAGACTGGCATTTTTTGGCTTGTCGTCTTTGCCGCGGTTGGCAGCTCACTCGCACCCGGAATCTTACCTAGCTGGATGGCGGGGTATTTGTTGCCTCTCAAACCATCAATAAGACGGCAATTGACAGTCAGCAACCCCCACCCCCCCACACGCATCCCTCACCACGAACCAGCGTAAGTGTGTATCAGCAGAACAAATATGCTTGGCTTTGCATCTTGCGACAACGCAAACCCCTCTTCCTCTGCCGCCCCCATGAAAAGAAGCAAAGTAACGCAGCACCGGCTCATCGGGAGGGGGAAAAAGAACACACCCAAACACCTCCCATGAATCGATCGATCGATCGATCGATTGCATACAATGCAAGCCTGTTCCCAAAACAAAGTCTCAACATATCAAAAAACAAGACCAAAAAGATATCAAGAAAAAAAAACGAGTGCTCGATTAGGCCCGCAGTGGGAAGCACTGGGAGCGGTGAGTCACCGCCATGTTTTTTTGTTATCTCGAAACGCAAGGTCAAGGCAAGGCATGCAGCATGCAGCTGTGTAATGCATTAGTCGGGGCGGCAACAGCAGCAGCAGCATGGGGTCTGCGGTCTGCGGCATTCCCGCTTGTGGCGCATAAACAATGAAACACAAAGACATATTAGATTTAGGATATGATTCTCCGATCCTGGTGGCCTCAACTGTTGAGAGATGATGTGTCATTGCTAGGGAGTAAGCATCCAGGTTGAGGCGTGGACACAATGAAGCAGCATCGTGGTGTTCAACAGGGGGATGGGGGGGATTGGGGGATACGAGGAGTCATACTTACATATCAGCACCTTTTTGTTTGCCTTGTCTTTGTTGTCAACGCTGCAACGTAAGCCTGTGCGCTGGAAAGGGCAAGTTCCACGAAAAGAAAACAAGGGCATTCCGAAGGGGCCATGTTTGCAGTTATCAGTCATCTGCGTTTGCGCTCGGGTAAGACAGCATCCTCGTGTTCTTTTTCTTTTTTTACTCCTGGGTAATACCCGAGGAGTGTACATATTAGAGTGTGTTCAGCATATCCTAGATCGGACTAGTATTCACCCTCTTTTGCTCCACATACTTAGATGTGTGTGTGTGTGTTTTCCTGCTGCATCCTGTCCGCCATGGTCCGCATGGACGTTGCGCCTCTTCGCTAACCCGATCTCTCGCTACCCACTACACCCGCCCAGCACAAAAGTACGTATACAAAGTCCGATAACGCACAGTCAATCTCTTGGCGGTACAGAGTGGCGGCGGGGAATATCGGGTCTCTCGCTTCCTTGGCAGCCCCGGGGAAAAAACAGTATACAGAGAGTGGGAAACCGGGGTACTGGGCACCCGCAACCCGGCTTACTTCTAACAGTATGAGGTGATGTCATGCAGTTCAATGCGTGTAGTCGCACACGTTCTACGATACGTATCTCCTACTATGCATAACCCCTGTCTTCTCCTTCCAGTCATTTCTTCTTCTTTTTTTTCCTCTGCTCACGTCTCGTCACCAGTCGTCACGCAACTGCTAAATAACAAGATGATATGATTGAGGAAAGAGATGGAGGCATGCGCAGGCGCTGACGTCATGCACACAACTCTCCGTATCTTCACCCTTCTACATGTAACTCCGAATAATGCAACCGGGTATTACCACAATAGGATAAGAAATAGCAACATCCCGCCCCCTCCCCCTCACCCCGCGGATTCATTCCGCAAAAAAAAACACCCCGAACTTCGGCCCATTCACTTCCAGCAATTTTCTCGGTCCTCCATGTCCATCTTTCCTGATTGACTCCCTCATTCCCCCTTCCTATCATCTGCTTCGGCCCTATTTCCTCCGCAAACCCCACATCACTACGCCGAGATAACCGTCTCTTTTTTTTTCTCTTCTCTTCCCCACACCCAAGTCCTCAGTCAACCCCCGGGGCCCGCTATGATGTCCTTTTTTTTGCGTCTCCAGACATGGGATCGTATGCACAACATTTCAACGGGGCAATGGCGTGTATCCACTGCGGGGATCTGGGAGAACGGGGGTGTTCGGTTTGCCACAATATAACCCTGGATAAACGGGGGTCATACTATGCGAACAGATTTTCCCATTCCTGGGGTTTGTATTTCGTCATAATGGAGTTGGGGAAGGGGGACCCTGGTGAAGATCGAGAAGAAAAAAAAGAGAGAGAAAGAGAGAGAGAGGAAGAGATGACGACACAAGGCAAGCATGGTGCATGTATTGCGTGTGTGTAATGTTTGGATTCTACTATGTATCCCCCCTACACTGTGGCATCTCGCAAAAAAGTTCTCGGCTCAACGATGGACTGACTTTCTACTACTCTACAGTCTGAATACTCTTCAGCTCTCTGCGCTTCCGGCCTTGACCCAGTAGCCGTCCCAATTGTACTTGAGCACCTCGTTTCCCCATGAAGTCCAACCACTGACTAGGTAGCGAGAAAACACCTCGAGTGCAGTGTAGTCTGTTGGGTCTACCAGGTAGGGTTCGAGCAAGGACTTGAGGCAAGGCTTGCGTGAGTGTACGTCTGGCACGGCGGCAATGACTCTACGCTTCACCCCGGGCGCATGTACCATGCGTGTCCACGAGTTTGGCGCTGCACGACCTAGCAGTAACATCTCATAGGGCTTGCGCATGGGGCTGTCAATGTCAAACATGGGCTCGCCTTTGGTCGTCGTCTTGATCCATATCCATTCTTCCACTAGTCCCACGTTCCACGCCTCAAACAGCCCGCCGGGGCCGAGCACATGACGCTTTAACGATGGCTTGTTGGTGACCCAAACGCCCACCAGTGCATTGTGTTCCAGGTACATGTCGAGATGCATGTTGAGTAGCATTCGCTTGAGGTACGGCATGCCTCCCACCTGCTCGTAGGCGCCTTTGCGCTTGGCCGACCGATTGGGCCATGGCGGGTCTAGTAGTACAAGGTCGAAATGCCGTGCAAGGGAATACTCGTCAGTGAGTCGACGAAACGACGAACGGAAGACATCCGAGGCAGTCGAGTCGCTCAGAAAGAGAGTGGCCCGAGGCGGGATAGTGAAACGATAGTCCTGAGCCGAGGAAGCAGATTTCAACGTCTTATCAGTGATTATGGCTTCGAGTGAGTGGTGGTTGGGATTGTGAAAGGTACATGTCCATGGCACCGTTTGTGTCTCTTGGGTGACAGCATCGGCGGCCTGTGTATTACTTTCAATCTCATGTGCATGACGGTACGACAAGATGCATTTGTCTGTGACTGCAGCCGAATCTGTGGGCTCAGATGCTGCACCGAGCGAAGCCATCATCTGCTGCAGATTGAAAGCCATGTCGTCTTGTTTAGCTTGGCTCCATGAGGCCCACTCTCGCATGCGCGACTCCAGATTCTTTTCTGTGGGGCCGTCCAGATCCATGGCCTCGTCTTGTGCACACAGAGGCCTCTGGGTCATGAGTTGACGGCGCATGCACCATGACCCCGAGACATGTGCACGGATTTGGGCGAGTGCATGTTCAACAAGAAGTTTATATCCAGAATCGTCAAGATACAGGGACTGCAAATCATGCTCATTCTGCTGCGTGCTGTCGCCATGATAGACTTTGGCCACTTTCGCCTGTGTCTTCTGTGTCTTGGGCTCGTAGTCTTGTTTGAGCTGGATAGGCGCTTCTAGAGGCGCAGTGGACAAGAGGACATCAGAGCGGTCGCCCTGGGCTGCCACGATAGACGCAGGTATGTCGACCAGAGTAATGTCGGCGTCGGCATTCTGGAAGATGATGGGGTTTGGCACGTGAGGGGCCGACTGCGCGGTGGGAGAGGCGCGTGGTGGTTGTGGTTGTGTGGAAAACATATCCGGTGGGTAGCGTCGGGTCGGATGTGGAGCGTCGAGTGCCTGGGCGGCCGGAGGAGGCAGAGCAGCCTCGGCAACGTCATTGCCGTGGCCAAACCATACACACCACACAACTACGCCCGCTTTTCTACTAATCACGCCCCTGCCTATCCTTGACCACAAACACCCCCTCATGTCGCGGTAGCCCATTCACGCCCGTTTGGAATGTCCACGCACCTCCTCCGCCATGACGGAAACACGCCGAATATCATGACAATGACTGCCGCGCAACCCTCCCGCGCAACCTCCATCATCTCCAGCCATGAAGCCGCTCCGCCATCCTCGAGGGACGAGCAGACGAATATGAATAACAAGGAAAAGAAGAAGACGGACAAGAAGAGCACCGAGTATGTCATCAAGAGCGGGCTGGCGGGTGGTTTCGCTGGATGTGCGGTATGTTTCTCTGGCCCTGTGTCTTCGACTCTCCATGGCATCTGCTAATATGCACACGACAGGCCAAGACGGTCGTAGGCCCTCTCGACCGCGTCAAGATCCTGTTCCAGACGCGCAACCCCCAGTTTGCTAAATACACAGGCTCCTGGGCCGGATTCCCCGAGGCCATGCGCGACATCTACGCCACCGCCGGACTGCGAGGTCTGTTCAAGGGCCACTCGGCCACCCTTCTGCGCATCTTCCCCTATGCAGGTGTCAAATTCCTCGCCTACGAACAGATACGCGCCCGTGTCATTAAGAACAAGGCACAGGAGACGCCTGTCCGTCGCTTTGTCTCGGGCAGCTTAGCCGGCATGATGAGTGTTTTTTTGACATACCCGCTTGAAGTCATCCGCGTGCGCCTGGCCTTTGAGACCAACGAAAATGCACGAAGTAGTCTGGCCACCATTGTCCGCAAAATCTACTCGGAGCAGGCCCCCCGCGTCCACCGGCCGGAAAACCCAATCACCGCAACTGCGACGCATCTCGTCGATACCGTCACCCCACGCTCCGGTCTCCCAAACTTCTTCCGTGGCTTCACCCCCACTCTGCTCGGCATGATACCCTATGCCGGCGCCTCGTTTCTCGCCCATGACCTCATGTCCGATTTGATGCGCACACCCCTACTCGCCCCTTACACCACCCTGCCCAACACCTCGCGCGAAGAAACAAGTACTTCGACGCATAAGCCCGCCCAGCTCCGTTACTGGGCTGAGCTCACTACCGGCGGCATTGCTGGCTTCGTCTCTCAGACTGTCTCATACCCGCTTGAAGTGATCCGGCGGCGCATGCAAGTCGGCGGCGTCGTTGGTGACGGCCATAGATTGAGCATGCCCGAAGTGACACGAAGAATCTATCTTGAAAGAGGATACAAGGGCTTTTTTGTTGGCCTGACAATTGGTTATGTCAAGGTTGTGCCCATGGTGGCAGTCAGCTTTTATGCTTATGAACGTGGTAAATATTATTTAGGAATATGAATCATGAAAATTTGCCAATGTCAATTGATGAGAATGATGCTGTGCATGATGTTTTTATCGGATGGATACTCACTTGTTTACTTACTTGAAGACTTATTAGGCAGGAGAATATGTCGTGCTAGCCAATATGGTATTCCATCCTTGTTCACGTTACTACTTTAAATAACAGTGAAATCTCTTTGTTATTCGCTAGCTTCATAGCTATAGCAAGGTCCACATTTTAGCAACGTGTACAGTGCCGTCGTGAATCTAGACTACACCTTTCGTAACAAGGACTATACTGGTACTATGAAGTTCACATAATAAATTATCATAAGATAGTCCTAAAAATTAACTCATGTCTATTGCATTTAACCCCCTTTTTTATATATATCGTTTGAAGTTAGCGTAGATAACTCTTCTGCTTTAAAAGGCGAAATTAATTTGAAAAAAAAGGGGATTTCAGCAAGAGAATTAGTAGAATAATTTAGCAGCTAACTAGTTACACTTTAAATATCGTTAATATAGAATGTAAACTACCCAAGAACCCCCCTCACGCGCTATTATATTAATATAATCTGTTACACGGGGTTGGGTGCTAATACTTCTCTGGCTCGGTCCGGGTTAGGGCGAGTAGGAATAGAGACTAGCTCCGTGAGAGTTGTCTGGCGATTCGTAGTGGAAAAGAGTTATGGATGTAACCGAAGGTTTTGACAACGCTAATCTATTCGATAGACTAACA